GCATGGGGCATGGATCAGGAATGTCATATGGTGCCCATGTGCTACGATTCTTTTATGTGGGACATGGGTCTGGAAGCTCGCATGTGGAGCAGGGATTCCATTGATTTTGTTCCTCTGGCGGTTCCAGGGGCAACCGTCTCACACAAGTGATGGAAGACAACGTGTCACCAACAAGGAGAAGAAATATGTCCAGGGGAGAGGGGTGCGTGGGCCTAATTGTGGAGGCCTCCTTGGCACACATGAAGCCCCGGGGAAGAGGAGAGCCGGCCTGTGATGGGTTGAAGAGGATCCGATGTGGTTCTCCCACCACCTGGCTAAAACTCAGATTTGACACTTCTTGTAGGGCCCTAGCTAATTGAGGTGCATAGCTCTGTCACACAGCCTCCGGGAGAGCAGACCTTTATGAATGCAGGTGGGACACACAGCTGTGGAAGAGCCAAGAACCTGCCCAGGCTGAAGGTAGCCCAGCAGTTGAAGGTAAATGCACGTTATTACGAGGGTTTTCGCCTCCGGAGGTTGCACCGCTCCCTTCCCAACGGTAAAGCTCCCCAGGTTATAGCTAGGAGGGGAAGCAACTCTCCCCAGATCTTGGCTTGAACCCAGGTCTATTGAGTAGTAGCCACCTGCCCAGCCCATTAGCCACCCAGGCCAGTGTGTCCTCTATGCGCCTGATGTTTGTATTTGCTGGAGAGAGAATAAAACCTACAAATAACCCTTCATCAGCATGCCCGGATGGAACATCCCTTCACAAGGGTCTGGCCCCATTAGAGAGGAAGGGGGCTCCAGGCCGGGCTGGGCCAGGCCATCCTGTTCCATGGCACGGCCCCTTTAAGGAATGGGTATTTAAGGGAGCAGCTGACAACCCAGCTGTTTGCTGGAAGGGAAGCCATAGTACGAGGGGTGGGGTTGTGGGTGCTGGGGGAAGCTGGCTGGAGCCAAAGCAGAGCTCTGGAAAGGAAGGTTGGGGGATTCCTTAATGGGAGGAAAGATGAGGAAACTGGCTATTTAGAGCCTCTGAACATTAGATTGTAGGTGGGGGATGTTACTGGGAACACAGCGGGCTGCAGACAAGCTATATGAGCAGTCAGGGATCTGGGGGAGGGGTTCTGCTCTGTGTCAGAGATGGCCACTGCCCCAAGCATATTGCTTAAGAATTAGAAAATGTGTCTGGAAAACCTGAGCTAGGAGGGAAGGCTGAAGGAATTGGGCTTGTTTCGTTTGGAAAGGAGAAGCCGGAGAGGGGACATGAGAGCGGTTTTCGAGTATTTAAAGGTGTGTTACAAGGAGGAGGGAGAACAATTGTCCTTGGCTCTGAGGATAGAACAAGAAGCAATGGGCTTAAACTGCAGCAAGGGAGGTTTAGGTTGGACATTAGGAAAAACTTCCCACCTGTCAGGGTGGTGAAACACTGGAATAAATTGCCCAGGGAGGTTGTGGAATCCCCATCTCTGGAGATATTTAAGAGCAGGTCAGACAGACACCTGCCAGATGGTGCTTGGTCCTCCCATGAGGGCAGGGGACTGGACTCGATGACTCTCGAGGTCCCTTCCCGTTCTAGTGTTCTATGAGTCTCTATTCACCTTCCCATTCTAGTGTTCTGTGAGTCTCTATTCGTTCACACTGACAAGGCTTCCGGTACGGCTTCCACTTGCTTATTGAACGTGGTGTCCCCACTCGGCACCACACTGATTAAAGTGCCGCCAGCACTCCTGACTAGAGGGTGAGCCTTGTGTTTAACTGGGGTCTCCTTCAAGCCCCAGCTCCTGGAATTATGTAGCCAGGAGAGCTACTCAGCCTTGTTTTGAGGCTTGCAGAGAAAGCCGGAAAAAACACGGGGAGCCTAACGGCACCAAAGCTGCCAGGCTAATTAAAAGCTTGGTTCTTGCTCCCAAATCTCATGATTGGGAGAGGCCTGTGGCATGATTGTTTTAAAATGGTGGTGGTGGACAAGAGGGGGTTGTTTTCCTCTTGCACAATTAGAAGTTTCTGGCAGCTGTGTTAGGGAAGAACTAGGGTGTGACCACTCAGGCCAAAGATCAACTCTTTTGTAGAGGCAGGAGGGGCCGTGGCCAGCTGCAGCTAACAGCAAGCTCTTGCTGCTGTGAAATGGAATGGTTACAGCAGAAAAGTTGAATTGTTACTTACAAGCTCACTGGGCTTTAATAAGAACACCATAAAGCGCAGGAAGTGTGTGTGTGTGTGTGGGATTAGAACAAAGATTCTTCTAACCACCCAGGTGTAACTGTGCTTGGATAAGGCTGTCTGGCACGATGTAGGGCTAAGATGTTGGCCTGGCCCGCAAAAGAGTGGGATTCAATTCCTGGCTCTGCCACTTCCCAGCTCCATGGCCTTGGGCATGTCACTTCCTCGCTCCCTACCTCAGTTTCCCTACCTGCTCTTAACCTGGTTTTGGAGAAGGGATTGTCTCACTGTGTTCGCAAAGCAAAATGGGGCTCTGTTCTCAGCTCCTCAACTAGCACTGCCAAAAATGATGGGCTGTCTCTCCTCCCCACCCCACCCCTTGCCACCCTGAGGTTGGCTTTAAAAATCATGCGATGTTTTTAAAAAAAAATTTTTTTTTGGATCATTTTCTCCAGTTTTTGAGCCTTGAGAGTTACAGCCAAGTCATGTCTTCTCTGCAGCCAGCAGGGCTAGAAACATATGTCTTTTTAAAAGGAAAACTGAGGTTCTCGTGTGATCTTGGAGAAATAAAAGCATCAAGAAAAACACACTGTAGGGCAGTTCTGATTCCACCCAGTAGGGGGCCACTGTAGGGCAGTTCTGATTCCACCCAGTACTGGTGCACACACAAACCAGCACACTGCCCTGGAACCATTTTAACCAGCATCCTCCCCAGTGTGGAATAAAGGAGAATAATCACTTCTCTAGATCTGCTTGCAATGCTCCTACTGCCCTGACACTGTCCCTTTAAGCAGAGTGTTATGTCTGTTTTCACCAGTGTGGCCAAGCAAAAAGACAGAAGCAACCCTACCTCTGTCCCACTGGTGTGCCGGTACCCCCTTTCCTCCCAAATCACTGACAACCACCCCAGAAAGCACCCCCAGGGGGTGAGACTGAATGCCTAATTCTCACCCTGGAAAGGGAAGGTCTGAGATGCATTTACCATGAATCCCCCTTTCTAGAGATGCAGGGCTTCACCCCTTGGGTGGATGCTGGGAAAATTAACTCCCAAATTCCCATGGGGGCTAGAGGGAGCTTCGCAGCCCTGGGCGACTGGGAGCCTAAGGCCGGGGTGTTCGTTGCCGGGGATGTCGGGGGAAGTCCTCTGAGCCTGTGGTTTGCAGGGAGAGGGGGCGAACCAGCCCCAGGGATAAGCACAGGGAAGTGGGGGGCTGCCGAACGGACCTCGCTGTGATCACAGAGGGGACACGGTTGCTCTCCAGATCCTGCTTCCAGCAATGCAGACACACCTGGGCTGCAGGGGCAGCACGGGTGTTCGTTGCCGGGGATGTCGGGGGAAGTCCTCTGAGCCTGTGGTTTGCAGGGAGAGGGGGCGAACCAGCCCCAGGGATAAGCACAGGGAAGTGGGGGGCTGCCGAACGGACCTCGCTGTGATCACAGAGGGGACACGGTTGCTCTCCAGATCCTGCTTCCAGCAATGCAGACACACCTGGGCTGCAGGGGCAGCACCTGCCTCGTCCCCCGTCCCCCGCCCGCCTGCCCGCCATCCCTGGGCTTTGGCTGCTCTGTTCGGCCTCGGTATCAAGGTCTGGCCCCCACCCCCACGTCGCTGGGCCTGGCTGGCTCTGTAGGGCTTCAGGAAGGAGGGGGCAGTGCGTGGAAGGGGAGCCTGCCCTGGGAAAGAGGGGTCCTGCCACTTTGAGCTGCTCTGCCCCACGGCAGCACAGGCCTCCAGGGGGTTTTCAGAAAACAGCACAGACAGCGCCCCCCTGAGGCAGCCAGAGCGAGGCCAAGGTCCCTCCTGCAAAGAGGGTCAAGTGGGGCATGGCGGGAGCGTCGGGGCCCCTCCTGCTGGCCCCGTACTCTGCACAATAGCCCCCCACCCTCTGCTGCCACTGCGCTTGGATGAGACTGTCCGGCACAAAGTAGGGCTAGGAAGTTGGCCTGCCCCGCAAAAGAGCGGGGTTCAGTTCCTGGCTCCGCCACTTCCCAGCTCTGTGGCCTTGGGCAAGTCACTTCCTCCTCTCCTGCCTCAGTTTCCCCACCGGCTCTGGGCCTCTCTTTGGGGCAGGGCTTGTCTCCTACTATGTTTGCAAAGCACCAGATGCAATTTGGCTGTGAGCTCAGCACCGCTAGGTGCCTCTGCTGTGCAAATGAACAGCCCGGCCAGCGCCACACGACCGAAACTGATGGGTCGCCCCCCCCTTGAAATCCTGAGGTTGGCTTAAAAAATCACGAGATAAAAAATATATTTGGGGTTCGTTTCCTCCGGTATTTCTGCCTTGAGAGTTACAGCCAAGTTGAGTCTTCGCTGCAGCCAGCACCTCTCCTCCCCTTCCTGCTCTCCCGTCTGCAGCTCCCCACGCCTGTCTCCCTTTCTGCTGCAGCAAAACCCTCCCCCCTTAGCTGACTCTTAGGCAGGGGGGTTGACGAGTTGGGGGGCACTTTTAGGGACCTGACAGCAGGTCGCCAGTGAGCCATGGCCCATATTTTAGCAAGTTGCACCCACAGATGTTTCCCTTTACCCGGGGGGTGCTCCATGCTCCAGGGCTCCTGGGAGGTGGGCGAGCAATGGAACGGGGACTCGTGGATGCGTTTCCCCGCTTTAGCAGAGGGTCCGTCGCAGCGCCATGGGAAGGGGCTGCAAGTCTTGGCAAGCCACCCTGCCACAAGTGCCCTTTGCTGGAAATGCTCAACCGCAACCCCCGGGGAGGGGGGCTGAGCGCCTGGCACGAGGTCACCTCCACCGCCAGTCCTACGAGCCAGAGACCTTGCAGGGCGGGAGCCCAGAGAGCTCTCTGCAGGGAGACGCCCCACAACGCGGCTGAGGAGGCCACAGCCAGGCAAACCGCACAGTGACGCAGGGACGGTCAGTCTCAGGGAGCTCCCTATAATCCCGGGCGTCCCACGAAAAGAAGGAGGGGGTGGTCGTTTTGGACGTGTCTCATGAGGATGGTCCCTAGAGCAACCCCTGTATCTCAGGTCAGAAAAACAGATGCCACCAGGGCAGGTCATGCCAGGAACATCCTCACGGAGCCCAGCTGACTACCCTGCGGCAGAACTAGAGCATCTGAGAAGAAGTCACATGTGGCCTGGCAGGAGGTACCATCCGTGTAATCAGGGCGAGGCTCCTCCCGGCCACCCTTCCACGTTCACACGTGAATTCCCCGGTCGTGGGAGAGGTCGGCTCAACAGCCCCAGAGCAGAGACTGAGCCAGGTCCCCTGAGGAAGATCAGCGAATGCGCCTCAAACCCTGACCTATTTTAGGGGGATAGAGGAGAATTCAGTCTCCTCAGCCCATTTGGAACTTGGCCTCTGGGCGAGGAAAGCTGGGAGGCAGGAATCATAGAATACAAGGACTGGAAGGGACCTTGAGAGGTCATCGAGTCCAGTCCCCTGCCCTCATGCCAAGACCAAATACTGTCTAGACCATCCCTGATAGACATTTATCTAACCTGCTCTTAAATATCTCCACAGATGGAGATTCCACAACCTCCCTGGGCAATTTATTCCAGTGTTTAACCCCCCTGACAGGTAGGAACTTTTTCCTAATGTCCAACCTAAACCTCCCTTGCTGCAGTTTAAGCCCATTGCTTCTTGTTCTATCCTCAGAGGGCAAGAAGAGCAATTTTTCTCCCTCCTCCTTATGGATGGGGACCATAATTCACTGCAGAAGCCACGCGAGGGATGCTAGGGGGTCCCAGGTTGAGCGTGTGTAGGTCTTACCTGCATGGGCAGGATCCCCGGGAGGCGGTCCTTGGAGTGCTCTGGGATGTGGGCTATTTTCAGGTGGATGTCTCCAGACAGGGTACGCAGGTCACTGGCCACCTTCTTGGCCAGCTCCTCCTCCGAGTTCACCCTCTTGTACGTGTCCGTGGGGGCGAGGGTGGCGAACTTGGCTGCGACGTCGGCACCCACATCTGCCAAGGCGTAGTTGTCCGCCACCAGCTGCCCCACCGCCCGGAGCACGCCGGGCACCGTGGCGCGGAAGGCGGCTGTCTGCTGGGCCACCGCCAGGGCCTCGCTCGCCTGGACGGTGATATGTGGCTCCACCCCAGTCACACTCCATGCTTTGCCAGTGAGGGGGCTGAGAATCACCTGGCTGGGGATGGAAGCGTACAGGGAGCTATTGCCGACCTGGTAGATGGCGCCCGAGAGCGAGCCGCCCATGGTGGGTTCCCCAATGATGGTGGCCCGGTGCAGATCCTTCATGGAGCGGGCGAAGGCTTCGGCCGCTGAGCCGCTGACGTGGCTGGTCAGGATGTAGATGTCCTTGAGGGAGCCATATCTCTGGCCCGTGACCTGGGGGAGGGTCCGCATCTCAGTGCTGCGGGCGGTGCTGCGGTCAAAGAGGGTGTAGAGGTGGCGCGGGGGCTCGGCCTCGAAGAAGTAGGAGCAGAAGACGGGCACGCCCGTGGAGTAGCCGCCCACGTTGTACCTCATGTCGACGATCATGGCGTCGGTGCCCACCAGCTTGTCCCAGACGAGGCGCATGACCTGCGGCCGGATGGCCTTCACCGTCTCCGCGTCGGCCATCATGTCGAAGCGCAGGTAGCCCAGGTTGCCTGGCAACACCTCCACCTTGAAGAGGGCCTCGATGATGTAGGCCAGCTCCTCGGGGGTGGGGATCTTGTCGGGGGCCTGCTCCTCCGGGCTGGGCGCCACGTGGCTGTGGAAGACGTGCAGCCGGTGGTCCCCGGAGGCCTCCTGCAGGTCGTTGGTGAGCTGGGCGGCCAATGTCTCCAAGTCCACGGCTGAGCGGTAACCACCTTGGGCCCTCTTGGTGCTTAACATGGCACTGGCCTTCCCGGCCACTTCAGGAACGGCGTAGTGAGCCTCCAGGAGCTGTCCAGCGCTTTCCACGAGAGGCCCCATGACCTGGTGGAAAGCCAGCACCTCCCTGGCCTTCTCCAGCGCCTCGTCTGCCAGCACGATGGCATCGGGCACCACGCCTCCGCCCAGCCAGCTGTCGCCATGGTTGTCGACGAAGGAGATGACGGGCACGGTGACGGTGAGGCCCTGAGTGAGGCCCCCCTCTGGCTGCAGCAGGGGGAAGGTGCGGGTGTGCGAGAGACGGCCCGCGGTGATCTCGCCGATCAGCGTGGCACGGCCCAGGGACTGCATGAGGTAGGCGAACTCCTCGGCCGCCGTGGCCGTGCGGTGGCTGGTGAGCAGGTAGACGCCACGCCGGGCCCCGTAGGGCCGGCCCAGCAGCTCCTCCTGGCTCTTGTGCTCCTGCGTGTGGTTGGTGCGCCGGTCGTAGGTCGTGAAGAAGTGGACAGGGCCGGCGGCGGGGTCCTGGAAGTAGGAGAGCAGCAGGGGCACGGCGCTGGAGGACGGGCCCCCGGGGTTGTAGCGCAGGTCCAGGACCAGCTGCTCTGTGGCCTGCAGGGGCTCCCACACCTTGTGCACGATGTAGGGGCCCAACTTAGCCAGCACGGAGGCGTCGGCAAACTCGTCAAAGCGCATGTAACCCACGTTGCCCGGCAGCAGTGCCACCTGGAACACGGTGTCCACCAGGGCCCGCTGCAGCGCCTCGTTGTCGGGCAGGTCTGCTGCCCTGGGGATCCCCTCCTCCGCGGGCTGGGGAGCAGCCTCGCCCGGTGCGGTGACGTGGAGCAGGAGGCGTGGGTCCTCAGACACAGCCTGCAGCTCTGAGCTGAGCTTGGCGGCCAGGTCCTCGGCAGACTGGACGGCGGAGTGGTCGAAGGCGGAGAGATGCTGCAGCAGTGCGGGCACCCGCTCCGCCAGGGTGTAATAGTCTTGCAGGATGCCCTGGAGGCGGCTGATTGTGCCGGGCACCGCTCTGCGCACCGACAAGATGGCCAGGGCCTTCTCCAGGGCCTCCTCTATGTGGCTGGCCACACAGGGCCTCACCCCGCTGACCTCCCAGCTCTGCTTGCCCCCGCTCAGAGGGCTCACGGACCGCGAGACGGGCACCGTCACGTAGAAGTGAGAGGCACCGATCCGCAGCTTCTGGACGTCCAGCGAGCCGCCCGCTGTCCTCTCTCCCACAAGGATGGCCCTGGGTACGTGTTGGAGGATGTAAGCCACATCTTCGGCCACCCCGGTGGTGTGTCGGCTGACCAGCACGACGACGTCTTTGTCCTGCCCGTATCTCTCCCCCAGCACCTGGGGCAGGGTCCATATCTCTGTGGTGGTGTTGGAGGGCCGGTGGTACACCGTATCCACGTGCAGCACCTGGCCTGCTTCGTACAGGTAGGAGATGATGAAGGGGATGCCGGAGACCCGGCCCCCGGTGCTGTAGCGCAGGTCTAGCACCAAGGCGGAAGTCCCTACCAAGGTCTTCCACACCTTGTCCACCAGGAAAGCCCCGACCTTCTGCACCACCTCTTGGCCGATGATATGATCAATCCTCAGGTAGCCCACGTTGCCCTCCAGCACGTCGTACTTCACCACATGCTGAATAAGATCCAGGAGCTGCTCCCGAGTGAGGGACCCCTCCATTTCTTGCTTGGGCATCGCGGGAGCCAGTGGTTCAAAGGAGATCACCAGTCTTGGGTCGTTCAAGGCACCTTGCACGCCAGCCGTCAAGACGTTGGCCAACAATGTGGGATCGGAGATGTCCAGGATCTCCCCACTTTTGACGGCCTGTTCGATAGCATCTTGCATCCCCACCAGGTTTTCGGGGAAGCAGTAATTATCCAGAAGGACCGTAGCCATGTCCAGCACCAAGGTGGGTTGGAAGATTTCCTCCGTACGTACAGGGCAGAAAACCAAAGCAGAGAACAGTAAGAGAGACTCCCTAATCATTTTGAATCATCAGGGAGAGGCAAACAAATTGATAAGAAATCAGAGACGCTGGTCGATCTAGATGTGTTTAGCTCTCCGCTGACCTTCTCTGTCTGTGAACTCCGGGAGCGCCGACTAAAATCCTTTATCTGCGTTAAACCTTTAATCTCATTAAACTGCAGTGCATCAGCCAGTGTGCACCAATAGGTGACGTTCAGCATCATGCCACTGTTCAAACCTCTTATGAAACCGTATTGAATCACCAGCAAGGAGACATTTATACGGGGTTGTTAACTTGTCAGAGGGACTCTGAGAAGTCTCAGTGCTCTCAACACGCCCATTTTAAACTGCTTCGGACTAATCAACCTCCTTAAAGGCAAAGCCATTGGGTGTAGAACCACCATGAAAATGAGCAATAATCCAACCGATTCTTATGGCTTGTGGCAAAATATTAGCTGGAGGCTGTTGAATGGGCAGATAATTTGGCTTTCTTTGCCCTGGTGATGATTTGAATTT